CTTCACTTGGGAAAAAATAATTTATCCATTATTATTTGTACATTTGCCCAAAAGCAGTCAAAATGACTTCCTTGGGTAATCTAGTGTTAAAAAGGAATATCCTTTGGTGTTCTTTTATCACTCCAAAACCTGATCAAACTTTAATATTTCTGAATCATAGCCGTTTGTGTCTTTCAGTAATCAGTAGTGATTGGGCATGAAGGGTCAATTAGTTGGCCAGCACGATCACCTAATCTAAATAAATCCATTGGATTTTTATTTGTTGGGCCACCTGAAATATTTGGTTTACAATGCACCAGTAAACGATGTTGAAGTACTGCGATATTGTATTCAAGAATGTTTTCAGTGAATTCAAACGACACTTGGTACTTCTGAACAAATGAGAAGATCTATGATGCGGTGGAATTTGGAAGTCTGTATTCAAACCGAAGATGGCTACTTCGAACAATTTTTATGAAAATAATAGGTTTCACATAAAAACGGCTATAATTCAGAAACAAGGTTGTGTCGGGCATATACAGGGTTTGTATTTTGTGTTTGTATACCTGTATATCCATATGAACTTTGTTTCTTAATTCTTTTTTTTATTAGAATCTATCCCCGAAGTTATGCCCACATATTTTGAAACATCTTGTACTTCATTGTCCCAAGCTGAACGAAGAATAGCTTTATTTATATGAAAAATATAGTCGCAATATCGTTGCCACGTTATAAGAACTCGCGTTATACAGGAGATCTGTTGTAGTGGGTACTTCACTACAGGGTATTTCTGAAAATGTGGTCATAACTGCTGGTATACATTCAGTATGGTAGAATAAGAAAAACAGTTCATACTAATATACATTATATGCCCGACATGAACTTTTTCCAAATTATAGCCATTTTTGTCTTCTAGTAAAATGGTAACACATGTCTGTACGTGAATGTACTCTTACACTGCTTGTAACATCAACACGTGGTCGCAGTGTTCACCAATTATCATTATAAGTTTAATATTATATTTTAAGTTATGTGCGAATATATCAGGGATCTAAATGAGAATCTCGTGATATAATAAACTGATTAACACTAGAAAGACTGAAACTTAGTATATACCTATATTGCCCAAAAACAATCAAAATGACTGCATTGTGAAAGAATAATGTGTAAAGAAATTTGTCTAAAATTAATTTTTAATATTTTTTATATTATTTGTAGTCATGTAACAAGTTAT